GATCAATTCAAATGCTATTTGGGCGGCAACTGTGCCATCGATGTCCACAATCGGACCTTTTGCAAGAAGTGTCGACTCGACAAATGCTTTGACGTCGGAATGAAAAGTGTAACTAAAAAATAAATATTAATAATAATAACTAAATACTAACTAAATATTAATTAAATAATAATAACTAAATAAAAACTAAATAATAACTAATTACTAATTAAATAATAACTAAATAATAAATATATAATAACTAAATACTAACTAAATACTAATTAAATACTAACTAAATATTAATTAAATACTAACTAAATACTAATTAAATATTAATTAAATACTAATAACTAAATAATAATAATAATAATAATAATAATAATAATGATAATAATTTTTAATATAAATTAATTGATGTCTTAATTTGCTAGACATTCATCTACAATGAAGAACAAAAACGGATGAGACGGGCAATCATTGATGAAAACCGATTGCGAAGACAACAGAACAAAGACGAAAGTCGTGGCCTACATATGGTCTGGCAATCGGCGGCGTCGGCGGCGGCTAACCATCGCAACTGTTGTCCACTGATGACTATATCTTCTTCATCGTCATCAACATCATCAACAACACCACTGTCATCGTCGCCGATGACAACAACTCAGCCGTTAAACGACAACAACAACAACAACAACAACAACAACAGTTGCGATCATTCGCTGGATTTTATCGACGAACTAATAGACAATACATACGATACGGAAGCAATTAATGCCGAAATCGGTCGAATCGAGTCCTATATTACCGACAATCATACCACTCATGTATGCCAATCGGTCTACAAACGAGTGGATCGTTTGGAGACCACTGTTCAGCCAATACTGAGACCAATCCAGGACTATAGCAATCAATTGACCGAAACTGAAGGCCAGAAACTGACGGAATTGTTTCATGCAATCGGTTTCCTAACCCATCGGCGGCCGCCCGGCGACCAAATCGACGGCCAATTGATGGCCAAAAGCTATTTGGAAGCGTCGAGTGTTTTGCATTTGAGTAGCGAAACCGAAATCCGGGATTTGGTTAAAATGTCCAAACATTTCAATGCATTTCAATCGGTTTGCGAATCGGATCAAATAGTTTTGATAAAATATGCCTCACTTGAGATAATCATCAATCGTATGGTTTTGAAGTTTAATTTTGAACGCCAGTACTGGGATATAATTACGGTTAGTGCTAACTGTCCCATACTAACTGTCCCTTCCTAACTGTTCCTGCTAACTGTTCATCCTAACTAGTCCTACTAACTGTCCATCATAACTGTTTATTCCTAACTATCCCTACTAACTGTCCATCATAACTGTGCATCCTAACTATCCCTACTAACTGTCCATTCTAACTGTCTATCCTAACTGTCCCCTGCTAACTCTCCCTGCTAACTGTCCCATCCTAACTGTCCCATCCTAACTGTCCCATCCTAACTATCCCATCCTAACTGTCCCATCCTAACTGTCCCATCCTAACTGCCCACTTAAACCATAACTGTTTAATTCCAATATATATATATATAGGATGACCATCTATCGCATCTGGTTAAGCTAGAGCTGCTTAAATCGGGTAATACATATACAAATCATAAAAGATTTTTAGACAATATGGGAACGGAATGGGATTCGGATCCAGTTATCATTGATCTGGTATGTCATATATCATATAAAGTAGATGTCTTATACAGTATATTGTTGTCCATTTTTTTAAACAAAAAAAACTGATTTCCCCAATAAATCAATCAATTTCTAGTTAACAGCTATACTATTGTTTAATCCGGAGCGACCAAAACTCAAGGACAAGGAGCTAATCAAGTAAGTCATAGACATTTTGATTATCATATCTAACTATCCGTCCTCTATCTGTCTCTCTATCTGTCTCTCTATCTGTCTCTCTCTGTCTCTCTCTCTCTGTCTCTCTCTCTATCTCTATCTCTATCTCTATCTCTATCTCTATCTCTATCTCTATCTCTATCTCTATCTCTATCTCTATCTCTATCTCTATCTCTATCTGTCTATCTATCTGTCTATCTATCTGTCTATCTATCTGTCTCTCTATCTGTTTCTCTATCCATCCTCTCTCTCTCTCTTTCTGTCTCTCTCTCTGTCTCTCTCTCTGTCTCTCTCTATCTCTATCTGTCTCTCTATCTGTCTCTCTATCTGTCTCTCTCTCTCTCTCTCTCTCTCTCTCTCTCTCTCTCTCTCTCTCTCTCTCTCTCTCTCTCTCTCTCTCTCTCTCTCTCTCTCTCTCTCTCTCTCTATGCTTCTCCTACTCCTATAGACTGGAACAGCAGACATACATGTATTTACTTCAACGATATCTACTGTTGAGGTATCGATCGGATAGTGAATCTAAATCTAAATTCTTGAGATTATTGAATCATTTGACTGATCTAAACATATTGGATGAAATAATTGTCATCAACTGTTCCCAAATGGATATGACTCGGTTACCATTGATGAAAGAGATATGCGATCGGCTATGATCTCGGGTCCACCTGATAGGAGGTGGGGGGTGGGGTCAGAGGATAGGGAGGAGGTTTGGTTTTGTTGATTAGGACATACCTAATTAAATTAATAAAACAATTAAAATAAAATATAAAATAAAATTATAATTAAAAGAAAAAATTAAATAATATAAATATATATATTATAAATGTATTATTAAATAATTTTTAAAAAATAAATTTATAACAATTTAAAAAAACATTTTTTTTTATTTTGTTTGTTTATTAAACATATGATTAAATAAATGTTTAATTAATTAATTAATTAATTTTAAGTAAATTAATTATATTAAAAATGGACAACTTTTGTTTACAGAATTTTTTTTATTTATATTATAAAAAAACATACATGTAATTAATTATTTTTTTACAATTTATTTAATAAATTAATTACGATATTTATTAATTAGGTTTATATATATTATATACCAGTATATATACTGTATATATATATATAATGTAAACATCATATATATATTTTTTTTGTTATTATATTTTAATATAATTTAATTTGTTATTAATTAATTAACCAAAATTTTTTAATTTATTATCAATAACTATTGTATATCATTATTATACTGTTTACACTGTTTTGTGTGTGTATATATATATACTGTATATATAATCACCTAATTGCTATCAATTATTATTATACAGTATAATCAAATAGATAGATAAATATTTTTTTTAAAATAAACATGGAAGTTTAATATATTAATTTAATAAAGTTAAAACTAAAATTAAAAAAAAATAATTTTAAATAATAAAATAAAAAACTTAACGTACAGTATATACAGTATATATATATATATATATATATATATATATTGTGTATATAATATAAAAATAATAATAACATAATGAATGTCAATAATAATAATAATAATAATAATATAAATTTATTAAATTGTTTAGTTTGTGGCGACAAAGCTATCGGTATTTATCGGACAAAAAAATAATTTTATTAATTTATTATTTTTTAAAAATTATTTTTTAATCATTTTTTAGGTAAAAATTTTAATGTCGTTTCATGTGTTTCATGTAAAACAATATTCAGAAGGAATGCCAACTTATATAAGGTTTTTATTTATATATATATATATAGATTGATATAAATTTTTTAAATTTTTTTTAAATATTAAGACATTTAAATGCAATTTTGACGACAACTGTACTATTGATGTCAAACGTAGAAAGTTTTGTAAGAAATGTCGACTAAAAAAATGTTTTGCCGTCGGAATGAAAAAAAGTTTTGTTAATTAAGATAAACAAAAATATTTTTATTTTTTTAATTAATTTATTTTCATTATTATTATTATTATAGGAGTATATACTCAGCGATGATCAGAAAAAGTTTAGATATTGTCTAATACAGGAAAACAGTAGGCGACAAAAACTTGATACCAGTGCTCAACCATTGATTAACAAAGAACCGGTAGTTTTGAACAGTTATACAATTACTACTACTAATACTACTACCGATACTAGAGTTTTATTATCAGATAATACAATAGATAATAATAATTATAACAATTATCAAGTACTGTCCGATAGGACAGCCGCCTATAGTAATCTAATGGACATACAGTTTATCATAAAATCGATGGACAACCAGATAATGTCGGAAAACAACTGTTGGTTCAATGATAGAGAAGTCTATCGACTCAATGAACTAACAAATGTCTTAAATATCAGTCGACAACAACAACAACGACAACAATCAATGATTACATCCGACTATCAAATAGATATTATCAATAGGTTTACCACTAATGCAATTACGGGTACAGTTGTCAGCCGTTTGTTTGCCATATACTTGGAACAGATGGTCAAACAATTGGTCCAACAATTAGGTGGCAGTGGTGGTGGTGGTGGTGATGATGATGATGATGATGATGATGATGATGGACACCCTATGTTATCAACGTTTGGCCAGTTATGCGATAGCGACCAGATTTTGTTGATTAAATACGGATCAATTGAAATATGTTTTTTACGATCAGTTATCAATTATAACTTTTCTCATGAATATTGGACACTAATTTTGGTAATTATTTTTTGCATATATATTACAGTAATATTAAACAATAATATTTTTTCTAACTAATTATTAATTAATATATATATATATATATATATATTTATATTAAAATTTATTTTTTGTTTGTTTGTTTTATTAGGATATTGAAAATTCTGTATTATTTAATATTGATTTATTGCGCAAATATAAGAAAAATACTTATAATTATCATAAAATATTTTTACAAAAAATATCTATAGACTGGGATAGAGATAAAACTGTTATTGATTTGGTATTTAATTTATATATAATTATATATATATATATATATATATAATCTATTATTTTATATAATAAAAAATAAATATTTTATTTTATTTATTGATTTACTTATGTAAATATATATATAATAGCTAACAGCAATCATACTGTTTAATGCAAAACGCCCTGAGCTATCACATAGAGAAGCTATAAAGTAATGATAACTATTGATATATATTTTTTAAATAAAAATTAGTATTTAAAAAAAACAATAATTAATTTTCCTCTCAAAAAAAATAGATACTATCGCTACCTATATATATACATTTATTGGCAAAATATTTGCGCCTAAAATACCGGACATCGGATTTTCATCAAAAATTATTGCGATTATTAAACTGTTTGGTAGACTTGGAGCTAATGAATGATATGATTGCCGGCAATCTCTTAGATGCCGATCCCGAGAGACGGGTTGCCATTGATGAACGAAATTTGTAGCCGAAAATATCAGCCGATAAATCAATCAATCAATTAAAACAAATAATAATTATTAATTAATTAATTTTAAAATACAAACAAAAATCAATTTAAAAAATCATTATTATAAAAGTAGTACATATTATATGACTTAACTTTATATATACAATATATATATATGATTAAAATGCTAATTAAAATAGAAATATTTTAAAACAGTTATATAAGTATTTATATATTTAAAATAAAAATTTTTATTTTTTGTAGTGTTTGTATAGTTTAAATAACAATTTTTTTATTATACAATTAATTAGAAATATGTTATAAATTTTTTAATAATAATAATAATAATAATAATAATAGATTAAATTTAATTCAAAATAATTTGTAAAACTGTTTTTATATTATTTTTTTTTTTAAAAACATTATCTATATTTTTGTATTTTATGTTTAAAAACAATTATATATATACTGTCATATAATAATATCAGTTTTAGTAAATTACCTGATAAAATCAAATATAAAATTATTAAATTTAAAAAAAAAACAAATATGTTAAATTTATATATATATACATATACTGTATATATTAATGGTATTAATACTGTAATTAAAATGGTATTAATAGAAATAGTTTACACACTGTAATGTATATTATGTAGTATAGAGTGACCAATAAATATTTTTAGATAACTATACTGTATATATATATATATATATATATATATATATATATATATATATTATGGTAATATTAATTAATATAATATTTATTAATTTTCATTGACAATTTTGATTGATAATTATTTATTTATATGTAATTTTCATGTACAATATATTATTGTAATTATATAAATAATATATAATTAAATTTTAAATTATTTGTCTTACTATATATATATATATATATATATATATATATATATTTAAAAACTCAAAATAAGAAAATTTAAATACTATTTAGGTGTCATTATAATTATTATTTTTTTAATTTCATATAATAATTATATTTTAATTTATTTATTGATAATTAAAAAAAATCTAATATAAATTTTTTATTTTGAGTTAATAATAGCAGCAGCAATAATAATAATAATAATAATAACCAAATATTAAAATTTATTTAGTTATACTATTTTTTTAATAGGATTTTTTTACAAACAAACAAAATGAAATTGAAATTAAATTTTTTAATTAACATTTTTTTGATTATATTATTATTTATTATATTAATTGATGTCAATTGTTATAATATTACTAATCGTGCTAATAATATACAAGGTAATAATAATAATAATAATAATAGTATAAATAATAATGGTGATGATGGTAGACATGGAGGTAAGYTAAATRACCCAACCCYCCCATATGATCTAAACCCCCTAATCTACCTTGAAATTTACCTGAATCATTTAGTTGCTGCTGGACAACAATACAATGGAGGACAGGGAGGACAGGTTGGACATGGAGGTAGGCTATTATGCTGGAGCTAATAATAATAATAATAATAATTAACTATAAAAACAACTATTTTATTTAATTTAGTCATACATATTTAAAAATTATGATATAATTTGTTAATTTTTGTAAATTTATATATTTTTTTTATTATTATGCCTGGATCATTTATTATTATTATTATTATCATCATCATCAAGTACTAAATGTTGGTATTAATATCAATGGTATATTAAATAGTAATGGTATAGCTAATGGAAATTCACCGTCAATTAATAGTGAAAACAAAGTATATAATTAATTATTTATTAATTAATAAATTTAACTAGATAACTAATGCATTATTATTTTACTTATATATATATATATATTAGTAATATTAATTAATAGTCTCAATTTAATTTTAACTATTAGATTAATAATCATGTATATGGAGGACATGGAGGTAGGCAAATATATTGATTATAATAATAATAATAATAATAATAATAATAATAGGTAAAGGGGATACAAATTAACTATTAAAAAACTTTTTTAAAATAATTATATACAGCAAATTAATTTATTATATATTTATTATTTTTTTTGTTTAAAAATTTATATCCAAGTAATAAATACTGGTATTAATATCAATGGTATATTAAATGGTAATGGTATAGCTAATGGAAATTCACAATCAATTAATAGTGGAAATATAGTATATAATTAATTATATATATAATTAAAATAAATTTATCTAAATAACTAATGCATTATTATTTTACTATAATATTTTATTATAATAATTAATAATCTCAATTTAATTTTAACTATTAGATTAATAATCATAAAAATGGTATACATGGAGGTTATAGAGGTTATGGAGGTTATGGAGGACATAAAGGACATGGAGGTAGACAAATATATTGATTATAATAGTAATAGTAATAGTAATAGTAATAGTAATAGTAATAGTAATAGTAATAGTAATAGTAATAGTAATAGTAATAGTAATAGTAATAGTAATAGTAATAGTAATAGTAATAGTAATAGTAATAGTAATAGTAATAGTAATAGTAATAGTAATAGTAATAGTAATAGTAATAGTAATAGTAATAGTAATAGTAATAGTAATAGTAATAGTAATAGTAATAGTAATAGTAATAGTAATAGTAATAGTAATAGTAATAGTAATAGTAATAGTAATAGTAATAGTAATAGTAATAGTAATAGTAATAGTAATAGTAATAGTAATAGTAATAGTAATAGTAATAGTAATAGTAATAGTAATAGTAATAGTAATAGTAATAGTAATAGTAATAGTAATAGTAATAGTAATAGTAATAGTAATAGTAATAGTAATAGTAATAGTAATAGTAATAGTAATAGTAATAGTAATAGTAATAGTAATAGTAATAGTAATAGTAATAGTAATAGTAATAGTAATAGTAATAGTAATAGTAATAGTAATAGTAATAGTAATAGTAATAGTAATAGTAATAGTAATAGTAATAGTAATAGTAATAGTAATAGTAATAGTAATAGTAATAGTAATAGTAATAGTAATAGTAATAGTAATAGTAATAGTAATAGTAATAGTAATAGTAATAGTAATAATAATAGTAATAAATAGATAAATGGTACACTAATTTAATAACAATAATTATATACAGCAAATTAATTTATTATATAAATAATAATTTTAATTAAGTTTAATATTTGTTTGTTTATTTTTAATCAACATTTTTATTTATTGATTTTTTAAAAATAAATAAATTATTATATAGTTTTTATAATTTTTTAAAATAATCATTTAATTGTTTTGTTTTTTTTTTAAATTTATACCCAAGTAATAAATACTGGTATTAATATCAATGGTATATTAAATGGTAATGGTATAGCTAATGGAAATTCGCCGTCAATTAATAGTGGAAATATATTATATAATTTATTTAATTTACCCCCCGGGTGGGGGTGAGTGGGGGCTTATAAAACATAATATTTTTTAACCCCACCTCCAAAAAAAATTAATTTAATTTAATTGTTTGTTTTGTGTTTTGATAGTAATCTATATCTAAATATCTAATTAATTATTGTTTTTTTAAAACATAAGATACAGTACATGTAATACTAATACAAATGTATTTATAATTTTTTTTATTATTTCAATTAAATCAATAAATGTTTTTATTTTTTGTTTAAATAAGTTTTTGTCATAATTTTTTTTATAAAAAAATATATTTATATATTAATTTTGTTGATAAATTGTAAAAAAATTTATATTAAATAAAAATTTAATAAACAGTATATTTATATATTATTTTAGCTTTACATTTTTACAAAAAAAAATATCTAGTATTTTACAAAAATATTAAATATTATTATTTTGTTTATTAATTAATATATTTTAAGTACTAATTTAGTACACAATTATTAATACTTTATATTATTTTTAATGTACTTAATGTACTCAATGTACTCTCAATAGTTTCATGCATTTAATTTTAATCAATTTATTAAATAAGATAATAAATATATCAATAAATACATATAAATATATATATATATTATGTTTTAAATCCTACCAATGTTTAGTACATTTAAAATTTCAAATAATATTTTTGGTTATTAATATATATATATATATAACAATTTAATATTAAATTAATAAAATACAATTCACAATTTGTAACTATTATTTTTATTTTATTTTTTTCAAAAAATGTTGTAATTATTAGTTTTTTTCAATAATTTTATTAATAATTTTTTATTATTTTGTTGTTCAACAACAACAACAACAACAAAATGTTTAAAAACAAATTATGTATTGTTTGTAGTGATAGAGCCAGTGGTAAAAACTTTTTGTTTTAAAAAAAAAAAATTATTTTTTACTTTTATTATTATTAATAATAATATTTTTTTTCAAATAACTAATAATAATTATAGTTAATTATTATTTATTTTTTTAAAAATTTATTATTTAATTAATTTCTAGGATTTAATTTCAATGCCATAACATGTGAGTCTTGTAAAGCATTTTTCCGTAGAAATGCCCACAAATTTAATGTAATTATTGTTTTGATTTTTTTTGTTCAATAAAATTAATTAATTTTAATTAAATATTTTTAGTTATACTACTACTACTATTACTAGTAATAGTAATTAATTTACTAAAATAAATCTATTATTATTTTTTGTTTGTTTAATTTAATAGTTGTTGAAATGTTTTAGAGGACAGTCGTGTCCACCGATATGTATAGCCAATCGTAAGTCATGTAAAAAATGTCGACTAAATCGGTGTTTGGCTTCCGGTATGAGAACCGTATGTTTTTATTTTATTTTTAAAAATCTCTTAAATAATTATAAATAATTTCATTACTAATAAAAAAAACATAAATACTTATTAATAAAAAAAATAATTAAGAATATATATACAAATATATAGAAATTATATTTTTATTTTATTATTTATTTATTTATTATTATTATTATTATTATTATATAATACGTAAGGAATTAATTCTTACGGAAAATGAACGAATAGTCCGGAAGAATAAGATTCTGGAAAATCAAAGACAAAGACAACGACTGATCCAAGAGTTGTCACTAATAGCTGAGATCACGACAACAACAACAACAACAACTACTACTACTACTACTACTACTACTAATAATAATAATAATAATAATATTGAGGACATACCTAAAAATAATAATAATAATAATAATAATACCGATAATAACAATACAATGGTTATTGTATGCGATTATATGATAATACCATTTCATCGGACAATACAAATGTCATCCTTAAGTAAACTAGATTTTAATGATCGGGAAATCAGTCGACTTCGGGAACTACTCGATGCATCCAAAATACTGGACGACAATAATAGGTCAGTCCCGCCATCACCGTCACCGACAACAACAACAACAACAACCAACTGTCGATATGTTAGCCAATTTGACGACATGTTACGTGTAATGTCCCTGAAATGCGATTACGATATCAAACAGATTGTAAAAATGACTAAACAATTGCAACCGTTTAGTAGACTAAGCGAATCGGATAAGCTATCGCTGATTAAGTACTCGGCCATTGAGATACTGACCCTAAGGATTGTACCCAATATTGATACCCAAACAGAGTACTGGACTGTGAGGACAGTTAGTTTTATTTTTATTTATTTTTTTTTATATTTTTTTAAGTATCCATTCAATAGTATTAATATTTATTGATTGTATTGTATCTGTATTTTCTAATAATAATAATAATAGGATAGCGATACAGTGTCTATGATATATATTCATCAATTAAGACAATGTAAACGCAATTATTATGAAAATTTTTGGCAATTTTATCATATGATAGCACCGGTATGGCACAGGGATATGGTTATCATTGATCTGGTAAGTGAGTGGGTATTGAATAACAATTTTAAAAAATTTAGTTTATTATATACATAAATATAAAGTATTATTTTATGATTTTTTTTAAAAATTTAATGTATTAGTTAACAGCTATACTATTGTTTGACGCCAATAGACCTGAGCTTAAGCACCGGGAGTATATCATGTATGTGTATGTGTATGTGTATGTGTATGTGTATGTGTATGTGTATGTGTATGTGTATGTGTATGTGTATGTGTATGTGTATGTGTATGTGTATGTGTATGTGTATGTGTATGTGTATGTGTATGTGTAAATTACTGTATATACTATATTATAGATATTTTTAAACATTTATATATCATTTAATATCATATATTGAATATATATAGACTTCAGCAACAGATATACATGTTTTTATTGCAACGATATCTATACATCAGATGCCGTACGGAAAGGGAGGCAAACATACAGTTTGTACGTCTATTGAATAGTTTGCATCACTTGCATACTGTCGATGAAAAAGTTGCACTCAATTGGCTGGAAGGCGATCCCCGACTGGTCCTACCATTGCTTCGGGAGATTAGTCAACGAAACTAAAAAAAAACAATTAATAAAAAAAATTTCAACATATAATGTATATAATGATTATTATTTAAAAAAAAAAATCAAATTTGAATTTACAAATTATATATTCAAAACATATATACATTTACTTATTATTGTATTAATTAAAAAAAACAAATTTAAAAATATAATAATAATAAAAATTTAAAGTGAATCCAATAAATCGATAATTAAATTTATATATATATATATATTATATACTAATTAAATATATTATAATGTTTATTTTTTTAATTATATACAATAAATATGTTTATAAAATAATTATTTAAAAAATTATAATTAAACTTTTATACTATCTATAAATATATTATTAAATTAGTAATAAACAAAATACATAATAATTTATATTATTTTTAAAAAATTTATTACATAGAATTAAATATTTTATTATTATTATTATTATATTTATACAAACCATATTCAAATGTATGAATCAATTAATTAATAAAATTAAATTTCAATTAATATTAAAAATTATTAATAATAATAATTACAATTAACGATCAAATAGTATTTCCCTAACTAATGGCGGAAATAATTGGACATCTAATGTATGTAAAGCAAGTGATATTTTATGGCTAATTATATTAAGTTCACATAAATTAGATAAAAGTCGATTGACTTTAGCATCGGATAGCAATTGGGACTTATATTTCATCGATAGATAACGTTTCAATAGATAGATATATGTTAGCTGTTGTTGTCTTATTATAGTATTTATCCAAACAAACAAAAAAATTAAATAAAAAATA